AATGGTGTCAGTAGCATTCTTGAGCGCTACATGATGTCTTTTCTATATATCTATATATATATATATATATATATTGATATTTCATAACATCTTTCTCTGCGGTGTGTTTTTCTCAGTTGTGGTTCTTTATATGTTTTTGTTTTTCCCCTTCAGATGGATCCTAAACTCCGTCCATCGTTTCCAGACATCGTCCGGCAGCTGGAGGAGATCCTCGCTCGCCTTAAAGTTGCAGAGATGGAGCAGGAGTGCGATTCGCTCAGCGGGGACAACGAGAAGAAAACCATCCCCAAAAGTAACGCACTGCACCCCCCCAGCCTTATACCTGATTAAAGTCACATCCTTTTGTTTATAAGAAGACGCTGCGATGCAATCGTAAACTTTAATCCAGGAAGTCGTGTGATCGTGCACCTTTCACCGCCGCATGCAGCCGCTGCCTGTCCTGACGGCGCCTCTCGCTGTGTAAATAACACGTTTGTGCAGGAAATCGTTTACACTTTCCTCACTAAACATACATCCACGCCTGGTGATGCTTCCATCAAGTTCCCGATCCGTTTCTCCGTTGTAGCTGTGCTCACCTTTAGGGCACCTAAGGGAGCAATTCCGTGAAAGTAAAGTTCTGTTTAAATTTAATCTTGGCTTTAAGGTAAAGTTCGGTCACCGTTTCTGTTTTGAGACACTTGATCCACGCAGGTCGAGGTTTCACGTCTGATTCGGTCCAGCGTTGGTCAGTCTGCGTGTCTGACGAGCTCGGAGTCAACAGCCAGTCGCGTTTTTGTTTGCACGAGCCAAACGTCGTCTTTTGCGATCGACGCGTGACGCCGCTTCAATCGGCGGCGGTTCAGACGGAATGCAGCGAAGTTCTCCCACGTTGTAAATCTCCGTTACATTAATGTTGACGATTAACAAAAAAGATCCGAGTCTGATGACGGAGAATCTTTTCTTGTGTGGAAATCATGGATTTATCTCACTTCTCACTAGCTGTTAATCGTTTTTCAGTATCTTCACCTCCCTCTTTCCCTCTCTGTCCTCCTCCACCTCTTTGCTGATAACATCAGCGTTTCCTGAGGCCATGACCCCTCACAGTAGAAAACACGCAGGTTGCATAACAAGAACTTGTTTTTCTCAGACACTTTCTGTCTTGCCAGCATTTAGCTGACAAGACAGCCTTTCAAATGTTTCTCGTAAAAAGTTGCATGCATGTTGTTTTAAATGACAGGTTAATTATTTTTAAAATATAAAAATAAATGATTATGAACTATGTGATCTGTCACTGGAAAGAGTTTTGGTTTGTCCTTATGCCTAATAAATCCTGTCAAAATGTCTGATTACAGTTTATACAGCTTTTTAAAAAACAGTTTGAAATTCTCCAAATTACAGATTATAATCTGTACTGCCACCTAGTGGTCATAAAATCCATTACATTTTTATTTTAACTGAGTATCATACTTGCAACCCATAGTTGTGTTTTTAAGTGGGTTTATTTAATTTATATGTAAAGTTCTCACCAAAACTTGTTTCTTTCTTTAAGGTGAGAAGATCCAGGGCTTCAAACGACTGAACCCTCTGGGCTGCCAGAACGATAAAATCCCTCCCAAATCCCCCCGTCCCAGACGAAACATTTGGCTCAGTCGCAGCCAATCGGACATCTTCTCCTGCAAAACAGGAAGGAAAATCAACGTTCAGGACCCTTACTACAACCCCCCCACCTCTCAGAGGACCTTCAGAACTCGTAAAGTCAACCCTTTCACTGCTAGAGAGGACCTTTGTGGGGGCAAGATCAAGTTTTACGACGTTCCCAGCAAGTCTGTCTTCTCGCTGGTATTTGACCTCCACTCGCCTCCAGGAAGTGTTTTCGGTAACCAGGCGTCTGCTCACGGACCAGGAGGATCCCAGCAGGAGGCGTCTTTTTACTGGCAGCAGCTGCCAGGAAGACAATGCCACTCCTTACCGGTGTCCCCCCAACTGCCCCGGTCAGAGATGTTCAACCTCGCAGCTGCTGTTTGCTCCAGCAACAACGGTTCTGTTACCTGCACGTCCAGTCAGCTGTCCGCCACTCTTCCAGGTAATCTCAGAGTTTATGGCAAACTTTTTGCCATCTAATAGCTCCTTATATTCACTGGTTCAGCTGCACAATATTTGCAGCTGAACCCATTCTGAGTAAAAACACCACACCTGTCAATCAGCTGTAGTATGAAAACATGATTTGGCAATGCACAGCAGAGTTCAACTACCGCTGCAACCAGCTCACTGTAGCCCACGATTTAAATTATTTTAAATGTGCATTAAGTTGAGCGTTTATTTTATTTTGTTAAATTAAAACAACATATTGTCCAGTTGTATATCGGCCACGATTTCTTAAGATCGGCCACAAAAAAACCCTCACCTGTTGACCCCTTAATGTTCACTAATCTGCAGCGTACAGAGACGAGCGTTGATATCCATTTGATCATAATCTGCAGGATTAATTATAACAACTCCATTCTTCTCAGAGTTTCTTTCTCTGGATGTGTAAACTGCAACAACTCCCCTTCAACAAATGTTCAGAAGAGTTGTTTTTGTTTGTTCAGAAATGGTTTGGTAGGGATGTTGTTGAAACAAATACACATGACATGACTTTTTTTCTTTGCTGCAGAAATTCCGTTATTACCGTAGTAGTTTAGATCAGAAAACAACATAAAACTGGAGCCACTTTAGAACGACTACAAAACTTGGTGATATCTGTTTTGGTCTAAAAACAGGTAAATTCATTCAGTGTTGTGATAAACGACTCATTTTTCTTTTATCCCCGTAAATGTCCTGACTCTAACCCAGGGGTGTCGAACCCACTTACAAAAGGGGGTCGAAATTAAAACCATTTTCAAACTAAGGGCCGGTTTCAGGATCTACATTATTTCAAGTTAGATATCCAACATCTTTTCTTGGTTGCAGGTTCCTCAACACGAGTTTGATTGGTCTCATTTGACGTTTTCTGTTGCACTTTTGACCTCATAATAAAATATTACAGAAAACAGTTAAAGTGATAAAAGTATTTTACATTTAAAATAACATCTTGGGGGCCAGATAAGATGTTAAGGAGGGCCACATTTGGCCCCCGGGCCTAGAGTTTGACACATATGCTCTAACCTGTCACACGAAAGTGATGTAGAGTTACGGTCCCAAAAACAGTCAGTCCCCAAAAAAAACCGACCCAACCCGGCGATTTAACAGTAATTACAGCTTTGACTGCTTGTATAGTTATTAACAGTCGGCGGACGCGCACAGCTGAGGGGGTGTTTGTCCTTTCATGGCCGTCAAAGCGCATTAAATCACTGCTTCTGCTGCATTCTGCATTATTCAGACACGGACCATGCTCTGGCATTTCGGATATTTTGGTATCTCACCTGTTTGGGTCGTCGGCCGCGCACGTCGGCCGCGCACGTCCACCGAGCGCAGCTGATTTATTTTTTAAATGACACCACCACCTTCTAAAGGAAAGAACAAAGATGTCTCATTTGTTTGGATGTCTTTCTTTACGTTAACTGAACTTTCTTTTCCCTCTTTCAAGGCCGGTCAGCGCGTGGTCAAATGGCCGTGTGCGGCAAGTGAATGTATGGCAAGCCATGTTGCCATATAATTGGATCATCAGCTGCACGCGTCCACTGACACATTAAAAAGCCTGACACCAGTCCGGCCCGCACATTATTATGGCCTGGCCTGGGCCTAATCCGGGTTGGGCCGGGCTCCGGGTTCGGGTTAGAATTGACAGCTCTAAAATGATCAACCTGCCTGTAAATAAATAAAAAAACAAGATGTAATGCACTGTTTTTTTTCTTGGTAGTTTATTTTAGTTCAGTCAAAATTAAAACTGATTCATCACAGCCCCAAGGATGCGTGTTAGTCTACTTGAGCCTAATTCTCAGACTGTTTTTATTGAAGTACAACTTTTGATGTTGGGAGAAGATAAATGAAGGTTTGAACATATGAAATCAGAAAGAACAAATAAAATAAAAATGATATTAATAACCAAAATGCTCCAACAGCCAAAACTCCGATCAGCTGTATTAAAGTCCTGTCAACTCTGACGTAGAACGAGCGCATTAGTTTGCAAAATTTAACCGTAACAACTTTTCATTTCGTTCCCCGCAGCCACGAACTCCAAGTCCGACACGGCGCCGGTATTAAACGACGTCCGGCAGAAGGTGGTGCTGGGCGGCTGGGCGAAGAAATACGTGGTGGTAGAGATCCCGCCTTTCTGCCGGCAGAGAGGGGGGGACGAAGACGGAGAGGCGGAGGGGAGGACGGAGGAGACGAGCCGCGAGAGCTGTTCTCCGATGCTCACCGGCAGCGAGACGGACAGCGGCGAGGCCATGGACTGCTCCGGCGGCCGAGAGGAAGAGGAGAAACGGGAGAGAGGAGCGGATACGTGCCCGGTGTGAAACAAAATAAATAAATTACACAAACGGATGTTTTCAGCACAAGTTACAGACTCTGATTTCTGGTTGTCGAGACGCAGAGACCGTTAAAGATTAGAAAAAACGTGCAAAGATGCCGCCTGTTTTTTATTAATCTTTCAAGTGAATGTATTGCGTTTTGGATAAATGTTTGATTTAGATAAAGAGCTATTTTTCAAAGCTATCGCCCAGGTAGGACTCTCTGGTTAGCACGAAAAGCTTTTACCCTCACACAGCTTAAAAATTATTTTCTGGAAAAGCTGTTTGTATTTAATATTGTGAGATGTAGAGTTTTTTCTTTAAACTTTTGTGTTCGTCTCGTCTTTGATGCGGGGTATTGAAAACCCCTCGTGTCGTGTGTGAGTTTAAAAATCAGAAGTCCGTTCTGTTTTTCTTGTTCAATGCCAGACAAAAGGAAGCCCCACTTTTTTTCTGAACGACCCGCCCTCACATTGATATTTCCTTTTAATTTATTATACGTGTGTGTGAAAAACTCGATACAAATAATTCCTAACGTTTTCTAGAAAGCTCAAATTTAAAAAGGCAGCGTTGGAATTTGAGTTAAAATCCACTAAAATCTGCCTTTTGACGGCAGCAATGAATTTAAGGAGGGGATGATTAAAAATGGATTTGTTGAACTTGTTTAGGTCAGAACACATTTATTGTAATTGTTTTCATGGACTCTTTATGGTGTTTTGCACTGTTTTTATTTTTTTATACTAACTCAATACAACAGCAGTGGCCTATTAAAGGCAAAATGTCCATTTCATTTGATCGACTGACTTTAATTTAACATCAGGATGTAATAAAAGAACTTCTGTGGCTCGGTATGTAAGAAATAAAGCCAAAGCACAATTTATCGTACGACCTTAATTCTGAAGAGGGCGAGACGTTGTTTAAAATCTAAATAAAAGCAGAATTCAATGATTCTCCAATCTCATGAAACCACGTTTTATTCATGGTAATTATGTAAAATGTTTACACTAAGAGATTGCATCATTTGTTGGAAACATTTTGAATTTTATGGTAGCAACACATTTAAAAACATTTGGACAGAGACATGTTTCTCCCTGTGACACCTCCCATCTTTTTTAACACTCGTAAACATCTAGGGACTGAGACCAGGGACTGAGGACACTGAGGGGACCAGGGGCTGAGGACACTGAGGGGACAGAGGAGACCAGGGACAGGAGTTTTTAAAGGAGAATGTTCCAGCAAAGAGGACCCAGGATCAGTCCGGGTCCTCTTTGCTGGATGTGATATGTTCTAAAACCTGTCTATACGTTTCTGCATTGATGTGAATGCTTCCTGTTCTCGAGGCGTTAATGCACCCCCATACCATCAGAGAGGCAGGTATTTGAACTGTGTGTCGATAACAGGCTGAGCAGTCCCTTCTTTAGCATGGAGGATTTGGATTTCAAACTTTGATTTGTTTGTCCACAGAACAGTTTTGGCCATTTTAACTGGTTTGTGGTCCGGAGGCGACGACAGATTTTCTGGATGATGTTCACTTATTGCTTCTTCTTTGCATGATGGAGCTTTAGCCAGCGTTTATGGACGCCATGACAGACTGCGTTCACAGTCGATGATTTATGGAAGTGTTCTTGAGTCCGTACAGTGATGTCCAGAACTGAATCTGGCCTGTTTTTAACGCTGTGGCCCCTGAGGGGCCAAAGGTCACGGCCATCCAACGTCGACTTTCAGCCTTGTTCACAGAGCTCAGAGATTTCTCCAGATCCTTGAAATCGTTTGATCATATGAACTGTAGATGATGAGATATTCAGTCTTTTCAATGCCTTTGAAGAACATTATTCTGAAATCAACTATTTTTGGATGCAGCTTTGTGCAGACTGGTGAACCTCAGCCTCCCTGAAATGCTCTTTTTATACCAAGTCCTCTTACCGACCTGTTGCCAAGTCACCTAGTCAGTTGCCAAATGCTCCTCCAGCTGTTTTCTTATTCATGCCAATTATTTTTTACAGCTTTTTGTTTCTCTCCAAACCTTTTTGAAATGTTGCTGCCATCAAATTCAAACATTCCTAATTTTTTTTCTTCCAAAATGGCAGTTTCTTAGTGAACATACAAAACATTCAAACGGTTCCACTGTGAATAAACTTTGGCTTTTTAAGATTAGCTAATATTTACATGTCAACTTTCAGTAATAAATCCACCTCAGAATTAATTCTTTACAGTAAAACTTCTGCACAACGAACTAAATTTTACAAATAAATATTCATTTATTTAAAAAAATGACCTCATGCAAACAAAAGTTGGCAAATGATAAAAGCATCGGCTTCTTAAATGAGCGTTGTTTTAACACGAACTTTAAAATAAAAAAAAGATGAGGTCACCATTTGACCGTTTGTAGAAACGGTGTTATAAAACAGATTTACAGAAAGTTACCGCGGACGTGTTCTTTCAACGTGCTGGTGCTGAGATGTTCCTCCGCTCTGCATTTCATACACCTCTTAAATGACCAGTAAAACCTGTTCGCTGAAGCAGAATAAGAAAATATTTGTCTGAAATTAATTTTAACTGAACGCAGCAGAGTTTTGGTTATTATCATAAAATCAGACAAACGTCACAAACTGGTGTTCTGTTTTTCACTTCGAGGACCGAGTGATTAGTTTTCTTCCATGTAAGGAGACAAAAGTGATCATAGATGATCAATATTGAGTTCTATGGGGAACATTTAAAGAATAAATCAGATTTTTTTAGAATCGCCTCCAGATGTTGAAGCTGCTCGCATTTAGTTGCTCACACTCCACTGAAAGTACGAAGCAGGAATTTGTGTATGACGTCTCTTTCCGTGTCGTGTTAAATAGTTTGAAATGTTTAGCTGAACATGGTGTACAATTATTTAAAAAAGTTTTATTTGGGTGCCGTTTGCCTGCAGCTCTTCCCTCTCATTCAACCAGAACTCAGATGATCTCGTGTAGAAAAGCTCCTGTCACTACTTTTCTATGCAACGTTTAGCTCCAGGTTTTACAGGATAACGGATCTAATTTGATATTTAAGCAATAAAACGTTTAACGTCTTACCTTTTGTACATTTGTGTAAGACGTTTGTACCATGCTTGTTGAATACAGCTGCGTGTTTTGTTTCTTCTATGTAACCAGACGACAAATGGCCTCAAGATGTGTTTTAAAAGTTTTTGTTTTAAAGTGATGAGCTTTTACTGAGATTTAATTTCAACATCTTCAGACTGAAATAATCTTATAGTGATTTGTACAAGTTGATAAAGTTCAAAACTCATCTGCCACCGTTCTGCGTGGAGGGACGGAGGAGATGGTGATGCTTCTTTTATTACTTCATTTACTCTCAATAAATAAGTAAAATTAGGTTCATCAAATGGGATTACTGACTAAGAGATTGACTTATTGGTTTAGTTACAGGAAACTCTTTACCAAAGCAATAAAAAAATAAAAAAACGAGGAGGCTGAGTTAGCCTTCTCAAAATTTATTGCAAAATAATCTAAATAAAAATCAGGATCAACAGCAGCAATAAAAACCAACACAAGACAAATAAGAATGTGGATAACATTTTGAACAAATAGTTAATTACTCAAAACTGATTTTTTTAATTTTTTTTTTTTTTTTACAATCTGAAATTAAGCATCAACTATTCAAGGATTAATTCTCATTAATCCCAAACCAAAACTGTGTCATTGGACAGGAGATTTTATTTAGGTTTCAATCTGCGAATACATTTAACTATAGTTTCAGAATTTGGATGAAGGATGTTATTATTTTGCACACATTATCTTCGGTAGTTATTTATTAAAACTGCAGGTGGGGAAGAGATTTTTATCAACTTGCATCAGCTCAAACGACATAAACCCAAACCGTATCATCAGCAGGTTGGCCGTCCCATCGAGGCTGGAAATGGGGCTTCACCGTTGTTTCTCCTACAGACCTAAAGCATGCAAGACCAACTGACATGATCACAAGGTGGTCCTGTGATGGACTGGTGACCTGTCCAGGGTCTCGCCCGTTCATCGCTGGACATTGGCTCCTTGCAACTCGCTGCACAGAAAAGTAAGTGATGGAGCAGAAGTTTCTAAATATTCAATAATTTGAAGCTTCCTGTTGTGTGTACTGAAGCACTCCGCCCTATCTGAGGCTTCTTCCTTGTCACCATGAGACTTGACCTTCAGATCCACCCACCCCCATCCTCTTCTTTAGTCCCGCTCACTTTGCAGCGGTTTTGTCCGATCAGGTCTTCAGTTCACCTCCAAGTGAACCACGGGGACTTCTCGTCCTGCGGCTGGAACTTTCTTAGCTCTTCAAAGACCTTGAACCGCCACGTCGGTTTTAATTCAGTCAACTTTTGTTGCCGACACTCCCCTGGTGCTCAGAATATCTTTTGGTTTTATAATCCGTCTTTTAATGGAGTTATGATTAATAGAAACAGCAGTTTTACTTTCAACACATGGAACGTTAATAAGAAAAAATGACAAAGATCTGTTTGATTTGTGCATTTTATTGAAACGGTTGAAACATTATGGCTCTTTATGCTTTATTGTCTGTTCCTCTACAACTGGGCCGCACTTTATCACAATGATACACAACAGGCCATCGAACACAACGAACTAAAGAGTTTTACTGAAACATTTAACATCCTTAAAGTATACAACTGAGCAGAGGACGGAGGGTAAAGGTCTCAGTGTGCTGTTTTCTGGTGTGACTTGAGGCTGGAGCGCTGCGTGAAGCACTTCCCGCACAGCGCACACCCGAACGGTTTCTCCCCGCTGTGGACCACCGCGTGCCGGATCAGGTTGCACTGCTTGGTGAAGCAGCGGCCGCACTGCACGCAGCTGAACGGCTTCTCGCCCGTGTGACTCCTCAAGTGCTCCTTGAGCTGACTGAACCGCAGGAAGCTTTTGTCGCAGTACGAGCAGCCGAACCTCTTCTCGCCGAGGCCGGACCTCCAGGGCGCCCTCGCCCTCCTCGCCAGGCCGAAGCCGCTGCGGCTCTGCCAGCAGAAAGGGACGGCGGGGCTCGCCGACGCCATGTCCCCACCCACGTGAGGTGCGGGGTCTCTGCACTGATGCTGGGATTGTTGAGTAATCAAGTGGGAATTTACGGCGTTAATCTGAGACAAAACGCTGTGTCCTTCGCCCGTTTGTGGCTTCTTGTACACAAAACTTTTTGCTCGTCTCTTCATCTTTGCCGCGCTCAACAGCGCAGAGTGAGATCTCCCCTCAGGGTGAATTTTGGGCGCCATATTGTCCAAACACAAGCTGGTTTGAGATGCAAACACGGAAGGAATCTGCTCAGTTTGTTGCCCTGCGTAGGAGACGCTTGGATCAGCGGCGTTTCTGTACAGGCTGCTCGATGACCACAGCGGTGCTTCGGCTGTCTCCGTCACAAAGGTGTGGACCGAACCCAGCGGGGCGGCGTTCTCAGCAGACTCCTCCTCCTTTTCATCCTTCACAATGAGCTCCGCCTCATGCAGCTGCCGCTCTGGGAACGCGCCGAAGCCGTCCGTTGGAGAATCCAGAGGTGCAGGGTTTTCAGCCGAGCGGTAGTTTTCCAGAAAACTCTCAGTCTGAGCAAGTTGTGCGTTACTGAAACATGGCTGCTCCTGACCTCCACCTGCTGAAGACAAAAACAAAACATGGTTTGGAAATATACGTTTTTTTCAGTTCTTTCCCTGTCTGTACTGCTATAAACGTTAACATTTAACCTGCAAACTGTAGCCTGATTAATCAGATTAAAAAAAAAAAACTAATCTCGATTGACCTCCAGCTTATAGTCTGAGATGAAGCTCTTAGATTTTCTGCAGTTAATCTGCACAACCTTCGTGTAAACTTTCTGAAAAGTTTTCTCTTGACAACGTGTTAATGCGTAACTTGAACGCTCCGGGGTAACAAAATGCCAATTATTATTATTATTTTTTTTTTTTTTGCAAATTTACAAACCCCATCCAGACTGATTGGACAAACTTCTCGGTAATTTCCTAAATGATGGTGAGTAAAGAGCTGCTTTACGTTTTAAAATCGTGTTCGAGCAGCACACACGCATGTGCGCGATCATGTTAAAGTGCTTAACGTGCGTTTTCGCTCACTCTGCTCGTCTCGCGGCTCGCTCCTCCACACGTCCTCTGTGCACTCCTCTTTTATCTGTACGTTTTCAGGTTCGTTAGCAGCTTCCACGTCTGCACGCTGCAATAAAAGGGCACAAAAGTTGTGAAAACTATGGGTCAAGGACTACACTTTAATTTATAGGCTCTGAATGTTGTGGTGCAGGTTATTTGTTAATGCTAAAAACGTATCCCTATATAAACGAAACACCTCAACGCACCAAGTTACTCCTCTGATTTCAGTCTGACTGAGCTGCATCATTCTTAACGAAGGCCAGAATAAATCAGAAAAGTTTTACAAAGTATTCCCAAACACCTCTGAAATCCCACTTTTCATCCTCTGCCCCACAAAATAACAGTAACCCCAACTACAAACACAACTAACTAAACTATGGCTAAATAAATAAATCATTTTAGTTTTGGAAATCACCTCAAGATCCTCAAATTTATGTTTCCCAACCTATAAAGGCAACTGCTCTAATATTTTGAATTAAATCATTCACATATATTGAAATTTTATGATTTAGTTAAGATTAAAAACTGCACAATTTATGTTTAAAGCAAGTAACAAATAACTTCAAAAGGAATCTTGAAAACATGCTTTGTGATAGGGGTGGGAGGCTTTAAATTAAAAAGAGTTAAAAATAAAAACTGCGTTCGCACCACAAGGTTGTTTATCTGTGGAGGATTTATGAAATGGGTTAAAAGCTGAATGTAAAGATATAAATCAGCTAAAAATATGATACAAACAAGACATTTTGAGCCGTTATATGTTGATCAATTGAAAAGTGAGAAGGGGGCAGGAACATAAAAGTTTTATTTCAACCTACTACACTTTGTTGTTAAGTCTGTTTTGAAATAAAGTTCTACTCAGTAATTAAAAAATGTTGCGTGTTTTTGACCCAAGTTTATGTTTAAATAAACAGTTTTTTGTCCCGTGTCTGCATAAAAAAGTCAAATAAAGGAGAGAAAAGTCAGACATGTTGTTATTTACCTGTTGGGGCTGATCTGGAGACTCAGCTCCCATCTGTGTGTCCCAGTCTGAACTGGTGCAAACTTTGGATGAAGGAGGACATGTCTCATCTGCTGCAGGAATGTTACCAACTGCAACAAGATCAACACAAGGTTTAACAAAAAATAAAAAAAAAAACCACATTTGGTGAAATGATGTTTAAAGTGTTCTGCAGCATCACCACCTCTCCTCCTGGCTCTCCTCCTGCTCCTCCTCAGCTCTGCCTCCATCTCCTCATACTTGCTCTTGAGCAGCTCGATGTCCCTCCGGCTCTGGCTCAGCTCCACCCGCAGCACCGCGCAGCTGTCGTCCACGCGCCGGTTTATCTCCGCCACAGCTGCCTGGGCCAGGACCTCCATGACGGACAGCAGCTGACTCTGGAAGCTGCTGCCCTCCATGTTGCACCGGTTAAAATACAAATAAATGTAGCTGTTTGCGCTCCGTTTCACTCGCTGCCTCTCCGTGCGTGTTCAAATCTTGGGTTGGGGTAATGTTTTGTTTAGTTTGAGGAGCAGAGGGTGTGTGTTTAGCTCTTTTCCTTCTTCACGAACGGCTAAATAACTGGGTCTGCTTGGTTTACGTTATTTTGTAGTCCGCGTGGGCGGTGTTAGTTCCTTAGCATTTTCAAGCTTTGCTAATATTTAACATTTTTGCTATACAATTAAAATATGGCGCTCATGGACATTAAATTTAAGTTAAAATCTTTTAGAAGACATTTAAAAGGCCAATTAGCGTAATTTTTTTGTCACTGAGAGAAGCGCCGATAAACAAATCAAGGTGACCGTCACTGGTTACGTCATGACGTTACCGTAAGTACGAGTTTAAAGACGCAGCCGTGAAACGACACCAGGCGTTTTCTGTAACGAAATTTGCTTTTAAAATGTATTTAACACATTTTTCCTCAAGTGAGTCGCAAATTTTATTTGATAAACATTTAGGTAATGTTTAAATTTATTTTAATACGATGTTAAAAGGGGTGTTTTTAGTGTATATTTGATAAACGGCGACCAAAGTAAATAATTTATTTTCTTATTAGCAAATACCCACGAAGGTGTTACTGTACTACAGAGAGTAGATAATTATGAATTCTGTAGCCAGTTTTATTTATTGTTTTTTTTTTAAAACTGGTAAACAGTTCATAAACTAAAGAAGTAAAGATAAAAATATTTAAAAGTAAAATTCTCAACTATATTATAATAATTCAAATAAATCACCATAAACAAAGCAGTTGCAGAGTACTGTATCAGTATTAGGACTCGGTTTCAAAAGCTGGTAAAATACACATATAAAATGTTAATTCAAAACCTAATGACTCAATGAGACAAGGTTCAAAGTTACTGTCATTCGCATCACGTGTGGTACATGAGGTGGAACAAAACTGTGTACTCAAGGTCCCATTTACACCCCACATTAGCAAAAATATAAAGTATTAAAAGAAACAGTATATAAGGATCTAAGATATACACTTAAGTTATACGCTAAATACTAATAATGTAAAATATGGTATATTTACAGCAGCCTGAACATAAGGTGAATGAAAAATCTATCCATCCATCCATCCATCCATCCATCCATCCATCCATCCATC